AACTTTTATTTAGGCATCAATATCATTAGACATTCCCATGCTACTGTTTGAGAAGACCAGCACCAAGAGAGGAGAGCACTGGATACAGATAAATAACTCTTAGTAATCACTAAGCACTTAAAAACTTTAAAAAAACAGGGACAGGTGGGGAAGGGAAGGCTCAGCAGGCTTTATAAAAGGACCATAACAAGAACAACATCATTTCAATTCAATACAGTAACCCAAGACTTCCTTTTCTGTTAATTCTTAGAAAAAATATTAATATTTTCTTTATCATTTTTCAACCAGCAATTAATACAAATATTTGCTTCCTCTCATCAGTGATATCCAAAGAACATATAAAGACAAAAGTTTATAGGGATATAGGTTTAATTCTGGGTGATTCAATTAAATAATAATGCATAAATTGTCCCTTCTGAAGATCAGTCCAATAAAAATGATCACTTTTATCATCACAAAAAACACAAAAATGGGCCCCATTTAATGACTGTTAAAACCATTTTAACATTTGTGAAAATATTAAGTTCAAGAATTTTAATATAAAATAATTACTATATTGTACTTCTTATGTTCACTTTGGGAGATTCAATGTCAATAATAATTTATAATGAAATCAGTCTTCCAAATTGTTTTACTATTAGACAGAATTAAGACTAATCAACTCATATTAAAATATTATATATAAACAATAGTAAATCGTGCAAATTTTTGAAGATGAAGTTTTATAGAAAAAAAAGGATGGCCTGGTACTTCCAATAGAAACATTTAATAAATAATATAACAATATTCTAATGGTATTAGCTTCAGGGAACAAGAGAGAATTGATGGAATGGGGGTGTTTTTATTGATAGCTGTTTCCTCAATTACTTGAATTTTTCTACTGGAAGTCTAAAAATTTGTGGTTAAGTATATACATAATAGCAGTAAGGATGGGCCATTTATAAAAGCAAGGTAAGACATCAAATGGGAATTCTGAAGTTACAGTTTCACTTCCAGGCTGGTGTAGAATATATATCTCTTTTCGACTGTCCAATAAAAAAAAAAAAAAAAATCAAGGAAAGTGTTAGAACTATAGACTAGAATGCAAACTGCTAAGAGTCATTCCACATTTGCTTTGTTCTAGAAACAATGTTCATTGTCTCCCAAATGAAATCAGGATTCTCTTTGTCCCTCTGTACATCAAAATAGCATCCACTTTATTTTAAGATAAAATATTTCTACAAAAATGCGTTTAATTCTTTTTAACTATCAAATTCAACACTATAGTTAGGCTTTGGGAAACAGCAGGGGTATAATTATTATAATGCCTGAAAGCTGTGGTTCATAGAATTACAATTTACACTCCTATGATTTCAGTTTTTACTTGGGGAAAAAAGAGTACATTTATAAATTTCCTGTTCTTGACTTCAAAGGATCCTGAAAAATTTTAAAAATACTAAAATTAAACAGCCACTGAAATGTCCATAGTCTGAACCGTAGCTGGTGTGAAATGGATGTGTAGGCGTAACAGCCTCTTAAGTGCACTGACACTGTGCTTATTGGATTGTATGGCACAGGCCATGAAGCCTCATGGGACTGGTCAGTACCTAGTCTTGTACTGAGAAGGAAAGCCAAATAGGTCTTTGGTAAAAAATAAAAAATTAGCCTCTATTCTGGAGATAAGAGAAATGGACCAGAGAGCTGTATGCGCCCGAGAGCAGCCCAAAAGGGACGGCCCAAATATGAAGACGCTTAACCAGTCTACCCTGATCCTCCTTCCCTGAAGAGGTCTTTTTGAGATCTGGCAGTGTATTCACTCTATGCATTGTGATGTTAAGGATTATAATAAGGAGGAGAAGCAGCCGCAGGTCCCCTTCTCTGCCACAGGAGAGGAGGAACTGTCACGACTGGTGACTCTCGTTGCAGCCAGGCCAGGTGTGGTCCCACTGGACCAGAGTGAAACAGCCACTGAAACTTAGCACACTCATCAGCTAATGAACAGTTCTGCTACTGTCTGCCCAGGCCAGTAGAGGACATTTCTTTTCAGCTGGCAAGAAAAATAAAATTACTTGATGGCCTGGCTGCGGGGATCTCTTGACTCTTGCTGAAGGCCATAAGCTGCAGGAGCCCTGGTCTGTCTCACCTTCCCAAAAGTACTCAGTCCCACGCTGGCCTCCTTATAGTGATGCTCTTAATACTCATTAGCTCTGGAGAATAGGAAATGGAAAGGATCCTTCCTGTACGTCTTGGTAAGACAAGTGCGTCACAGGACAGGAGAGAAGTTATCCTCGAACACACTGTTGGTTACTCCCAAGTCCCTAGGTGCCTAGAGGTCTAGGGCAGGGCCTGCTGTGCCGAACCCAGCCTGCGGCCTGTTTCTGTAAGTAAAGTGTTGTTGTGCTACAGCCATGTCCATCTGTTTATGTGCTGTTTAGGGCTGATTTCCTGCTATAGAGTCCAGAGCTGAACAGTTACAGCAGTGACTATTTAGTCTACAAAGCCTAAAATACTGTATTTATTATCTGTTCCTGTATAGAAAGTTTGCTTAAGCCCTGCTTATTGCATGTTGGTATAACCCCTTGGAAGTGAAGGATAACTTGCCTGCCCCAAGAATCTCCTGCGTATTATAGGTGACACATATCCTATATTTGGGTGCCCCACTTCTATACTTTCACTGGGTAAACCAAAAAGCCATCAATTGCAAGTAAAACTTAAAGGAGGAGAACAGTCTGTAAGTGGGACAGGCTCCGTAGTACAGCTCAGCTGCTCAGGCCACACTGTGATCCTGGGGCATCAGGATACTGCCCGGGTGCTGGGGCAGCTGTGGGGTCCCAGGAGGACCACACAGCATTTCCCTGGGATTCGGAGCAAGGCCAACCTACTAAGCAGGTACCATTTTCTCAGTAAACCGCTCTGGCTGGCCACTAGGCTCTAGCAAACAGCACATGCCCGACACCCAAGGAACCCAGGTGATCATATCCTTAATCCTTTTTGAAGTTTTATTACCTGATCTACCAAATTATAAATAGCACGCTTTTAACCAATAATGTGATATGTAAAATGGAGGCTGGGCTTTTTGAGGTCCCAAGGGCAGAGAACACCTGAACAGGCTAATTACAATCTTTACCCAGCAGGCTCCCCCCCCCCCCCCCCCGCAAAACCAGAACTATTCGTTATGTCTTCACGGAGACAGTCCCTACAATCAGGCAGTAAATCTAAGGGACCTGAACTTGGTTCGTTTGTGACAGTTGTAGCCAAAAGGGCACTGCTACAGCATTACAGTCCCTGCAGGGATGGCACTAAAAAACAATGCGGACAAAGCACATTCCGATTTGGCAAAATGTCAAGCAGTTCCTTTTACTGTCCATTACACTGTTTCAGGATGGAAAGCCTTTGGTCAGTGCTGTATCAATGCTTGGGTGGTGGCTAATGGTTTACCCAAACGGGATGCAGACTTGAAATAGCAAGGATGGAAGATCGCTGACAAGGAGAACTGAGGAAAGATAAAGGAGGTGGCCACCCCGAAAGGACACAAATTTGTGTCCAGTATGAATTCTTTTCAGAGTTCATAACTACAACAAGGCCTCTTAATCATCGTGTGGACGGGCTGCACCTGCATCTGCCCTTCCCAGTCTGATACCTGCTCAGTGGCCTTACGAATGACCACAATGGCAATGACAGAGGCTTGTACTGGCCAGCCATTGTAGAAGCTAATGAACGACCGCACCCTAAAGTCAATGCGAATGTCCACTACTGGCCAGCACCCACTTTGTCAGCAGTATTAGCCAATTTTACGCCATTGATTTGTTACCATACCTTGAAGGAACCAGTTAGTTAATACCAGGCTAACTACACTGGGACCTTTCCATGGTTGGAACTGATACTCTGGATTTGGATGCACCTTTGAGGTCTTTTGCAGTCTTAGCACCACCACCATATGTGTTTTTATAAATTCCTTGTATGTCACCACTACAGTAACAAACAAAATGCCTCCAAGGACCCACTTCAGTGAAAAAAATCAGACAAGTACCCTGATGTCAACCGGGTGCTCTGGATTCTTCGCTTATCTAACATCAACCTATAAAAATGGGCCACAAAACGATGAAAGAGACCCTTATGGGCTTCACTGAAACCACTTAAGAACTTGCAGGGCTGGGGTGCTATCTTTTAGGGTTGTGGTATTCATTCTTTCCTAGTAATATATGTAGTATCAGCAAAATATTGTATTATCACCCCCACAGCCAGAAAACACAGGCCTAAGAAACAAGAAACAAGGGATAGAAATGTGAGTGGACTCTATTAAGGTTATAATTAATAATCTACTTAAAAAACCGTGTTCCTAGCCCTGACTGGCGTGGCTTAGTTGAGCGCGCGTCACACTGCAGACCGAAAGGTCGCTGGCTGTGTTCCCAGTCAGGGCACGGGCCTGGGTTGCGGGGACCAGTTCCCCAGATGGGGGTGTGTAAGAGGTAACGAACTGGTGTTCCTCTCCCTCTCTTTCTCCCTCCCTTCCCCTCTCTCTAAAAATAAATAAATAAATAAATAAAATCTTTAAAAAAAATGTGTCCCTAGACCTGTGACTAAGGCTCTGCTGGCCCAACTGGGATAATATTTACTGGAAAACACATTAAAATTGGTGATCATTTCTAAATGGTTGGATTAAAGGTAATTTTATCTTTCTTCTTTATGATTTTTTATGTTTTCCAAATTTTCTAAAATGACTATGTATCATTTTAGATTAAAACAAAATGAGGTTAAGCTGGGAGAACTAGTTTTCCATTTTCTTTTTTAGTGGTTCCTATGCAGCACTCCAGAGCAATTAGGGAAATATCTGAAATCTGATTAAGTCCCACATTCCTAATTTGTAAAATGAAGGTCACATATGTTATGAGATACATAACATATGTGAAAGAACACCATAAACAGTAGCGTCTCTACAGGCATGAGTTACTACTGCTGGTGGCAGGCGAGTATCTTACGTGCCCAAACCTTTCAGAAAGAAAACAAGAAACATTAGTTACCTTTGGGTTAAAATATCTACAAGACTGTGGTTGAGAGCCTCCAAATAGGGCAATGCGGTAGTCATGTTTCTTCCTCCTTGGCCTTGTGCCTTCTACCAGTTCTTCTCGGTCCTCTGGAGACAGGAGATGATACCTCATTCCACCTGTAGAACAACACATGGCAAATTTTTAAGAACTTCAGGCACTTGAATGCTTTGCGGTAGAAAAACACCCAAATACAATAATAGTGCTTTTATTTATGCAAACTGTTTCTTCTATCATTTATTTCTTCTATTGCATTTAAGGAAAGAGTGAGGGGGAAGAGGAAGGAGAAATATATGAGGATCTGAGTTCTAACTAATTTATTATTCTCAGCAATCACCATTGTGCTGATTGGCCCCCTCCCCCAACTTACTACCTACCAGTGAATTATCTGGCTCTTCAAATAGTAATATTGAAATTCAGATCCCCTAACCCAGCGGTTCTAAATCTTAAATGTACATTAGAAATCATCTAGAAAACCTCTGAAACCAAGCTTGGGTCATACCACAGGCTAAATAAATCACAATTTTTGGTGGTAGGGCCTAGGCCCTGGTATTGCCACCTAAAATGCGGTTCAAAGACCAGCATCTTCTGCATCTGGGAGTTTGTTAGAACTGAATTCCAGAACTTACCCTAAACCTAATGAATCAGAATCTGCATTTTAAGCAAAATATGAAAGTAATTCAGATGCACATAAAACTCTGAGAAGTACTGGCTTAGATGATTCTAAAATGCAGTGAGGATTCAGGACTCCTATAATCTCACATGATCCTTTAGCAATTCCTTGATTTGGTCAGGGGCCACTGCACAATGAAAACTTTTAAGGTGTCATTTTAGATCACTGTGGAAAAGGTAGATTGTTCAATAAATGATGTTAAATAATGATAGGAGAAAAATCTTGTTCCCTCTACCTCATATTTACGCTAAATTTAAAATCAATAGAATATCTGAATATGTAAAAAATCTCATAAATATACTAAAAAAAATAGACTACTTAAAAAAAACTAGGCCCAGAACGGGGAAGCCTAAGAAAAGACAAGAAAACACAGGAGGTGTGGAAAAAAAATCAGACTTAGCTACATAAGATTTTAAGTTAAATTACAGCATGGCAAAAAAATATCAAAAGACAAGGGCAAACTAGGGTATTTATAAATCATATAAAAGACGAGTATAAAAAGATACTCTATTAATGAATAAGATTAAGACCAGCAACAGAAAACGATTCAGTATCTGAACACAGTTCACAGAAAAAGAACTACCCATAAACAACTCTTCAACATATGAAAAGATGCTCAAGTGCTCAAGTTAGAGAAATACAAATTAAAATCACATTTTTTCACTTATCTGATTGGCCAAGATCCAACTGTCTGCACCACAGGGGGAGGTGTAGGGAAGCAGCACCCCGTGCATTGCTGGTGGGGATGTGGGTGAGTGCAAACTATCTGGAGGGTAATACAGCGTGATCCACAGAAATTACGAATGCACACACCCTGGAGCCAGTAATTCCCCTTCTAGGAGTTTATCAATCCGAAGTTCACCATCAGGGAAATGGTTAAAAATTATGGTATACAATGGAATATTATATGTGGCAGCTAAGAAGAATGAAGAAGGGTAAATATGTAGACATGAAACGGTGTCCAAGAAATAATGTGGAATGCAAAAAAGCACGATGTAGAAGAGTATACAGTGTAATACCATTTGTACTTAAAAATTTATATTTTATGCATATATATACATATTTATGTATATAATTTATACAAGCCTATGCAAGTAAATGACTATGTATGGCACAGACGCAAGACTACCTGTGGAACGCTATATATACATAATGATAACAGTAACTTCCATACTAAGGGGCTGAGCGGGTAGGGGCAAGGGTATCGGAGAGACTTACTTTTCTCTATATACTTTTTTATACTTTTTGACTTGTGTATGATATGCAATATTTTTGATCCAAAAAATAAAATAATGTAAATAATTCCCAACCCATGCAAAACAATGCTGTTCATGCGGTTGTGTTGGGCCTTTATAATTGGGAGAAGACAGGTTCAGAGAAGAGTTTGTGAGTGGATTAAAATCAGTATCAACATTTAGCATTTCCTTCCATTTCAGAGTTTGAGTGGAAGCACTTGGCAGTAGGACAGCTGGAAATCTCAGGGGCCGACGCTCCGGGGCGCGCTTGAGGTTGGCGGCTACGATCTTTTCCTGTAAAGGTCCAGATAGTAAATATTTTAGGCTTTGCAGGTCACATATGGTTTTTGTCACGTATCCTTCACTTGTTCGCTTTTTATAGTTCTTTACAAATGTAAAAACCTCTTTTAGGCTCAAGACTGGATTCAGTGTCTGGGGTGTAGTTTGCTGACCTCACCGCCACCCCTTCTGCTCCAGGTCCAAGCCAGTGGTTCTTAAAGTGCGGTTCCTTGGACACTTGTTAGAAATCCAGATTGCTGAACACTACCCCAGGCCTCCTAATTCAGAAGCACTGGAGCTTGGGATTCACTGCTCTAGGAGGGCTCCACACAGGTCACAAGTATACTTGGAAATCTAGGGACACTACCTCCCAGCAAGAGAAGACAACAGGGAAAGAGAGACAGGAGCGAATTGGTCACTGGGTAGAGAGGCTGACTGTGGCCAGCTGTGTTGATCCCTGAAAGAAGCATGAACTTGGGCTCCTTCATTGATGGGCCCTTTCTCTCCCAGGACGGGGATGGGGACAGGCAATCTGGCCCGTTTTCTGGAAGAACGTCTTGCTCCCTAGGCCTGTTCCTTTGAGAATGATCCCTGTGAGAGTCAGGTCTTGTTGCAAATTCTGAGTTAGGAACTTGGTCTGGCCCTTTGGGGTGGCTCATGTTCTTCATTCTTATAATTAATTTTCTTTTAGTCGTAAATTCTTTTAGTTTAGTTATAGTTTGTTTTCTGTCTGTCTGCGACTCTCAAAAGGTAGCGCTAGGTCAGATGGCAGTAAGGTAACATGATCTGAAGCAGGGAGACGGGAGGCCTGCTCTCCCCCTTTTGGCTCTGCCCAGGCCCCAGATCTGAAAGAGTACTAAACCGCAGCATGTTAGAACTCATTTTCCTTTATTAAAATAAATACATAAAAAGTTAATATACGCAATAAACAACAAGACCTCAAGAGTCTAATCTTCACACTTGGTTCGATTTCTGGAATGGTCCTGCTATCATTTTTCTAAATCAATTCAGAAATCACTTAAGAACTAAATACTCTACTTGACTGACAATGGCTAGCTGTCTTCAACAGCGCACACCATGTATGAAGAAAAAGGCGCAGCTCTCTGCCCAGTGGAATGCTAAGGCCAGAAATATAACACACCATTTGGGAATGAGGCAAAGCAAAAAAACCTGGTATTAACATGTATGAAATCCAAAGATGAAAAGCCCTAATATAAAAACGTCTTCTTAGTCCAAATTTTCTTTCATCTCTCTGCATTTAAGAGAGAGACTAGTGGCCACTTATGTTTTACTTCTTATAACTCCACACCTTGGCTTTCAAGACACCAGCCTTTGGTTCAAGTAGCTCAGTGAATTCTTCTCTCCTGCTTCTTTTCCTCCTACCACTGCTACATGTAGATATTAAGAAAGTTATGTCTTTGAGTAATACCCTTTTCTCTTTCTCCCTTGACACCTTAGCTGGATTCAAATATCCCAGTCTTTTTAAAAATTATTTTTATTTAATAGAAAGGTATAATACCATACACTGTTTATGTTTTATGCTTTTGTCACTTATAAAAATTTTTCATATTATTCATCTAAAATATTTTTTAGTAGGTATAAAGCATTCCATATTACGGATATATGATACTTTTCCAACCTGGGTGACAACTTACCTAAAGCCACAGTAATGTTATTAAGTAGTAGTTGCATGATAAGCCTAGAGGAAATTTTCTTAACTTCCAAATTAAGGGAGGGAAGTGATATCACCTAATCATTAGGATACTCAAATTTCTCACCACTCTTGAGAAGGATGTGTTAGGCAGGAGTGAAAGTGCTCATTTCTCTTTTATTTCCTTAGCTTTGTGCCTGAAACTAGCTATACCTTAAATAAAATATTCAGATGAGATACTGATAACAAGGTAAGGCTCAAGGTAGGTTCCAGCTCCCTTCTAGAAGACGCTTTCTTGCTCATTACACACAGGCATACTTCAGAGACACTGCAGGCTCAGTTTCAGACCACTGCAACAAGCAAGTATCGCAATAAGGCTGGTCACAATCTTCTTGCTGGTGGAGGGTCTCGCTGTCTATTTGTAAAAAGTGCAACATCCATGAAGCACAACAAAGTGAAGCACAATGCACAAGGTATGCCTCTATTCATTGGATCTATACTGCTGTCCTATTTGTACGACACTGTCCATGAGGTTTTTGGTTTGATTAACTAGGAAGAGTAGGAATTCAAGAGGAGCCTGAAAGAGTCAGGAGAAGTATATCTAACTCAACATTTCAAAGTCATTACCACTACATATTTCATGCCTGTTTAAAGAGCAAGCTGACTTTCCACTGACAGCAGTATGGTAGTTTAGGTTTTCAGAAATACTTTCTTACTACAAAATTAATGCTGGAAAGAATAAAACACACATTCTTTTAAAGGCATAGCTAAGGTCAAAGGGCCAAAAATGAAGAGGGAACTAAACATCAGAATTGTTAGCATTAGGAGATACTGGAGCTACTGTGAGGGCTTTTAATAATACTAGAAACCCAGACATTGCTTTTACTGGCTGTACAGGAGAGAAGATAAGGTCTCAGATTTGCACAAGATAAGGTGTTGGAACCGAGATTGCTGCCTCAAGCAGGATTACCTGGACTGGTTATACTTTTAATGACAAGAGAGGCTGAGAAAAAAACATCTGCCTGATGGCAAAGGGTGAGATAGTCATTTGCCTTTTTTAATTTCAGTTCCAGGTGGAGGTAAAGTATCTCTCCTTTGAGAATTTATAATAATGGCCCTGTTCTCCTGCAGGTTTGAGGTGTGGGTTTGCCTACCTGTAAATCTAGGAAACCATAAGCTAAGAAAAATTCAAAGTAGTCCTGGATTGTTGGGCTCCAGGTACTTGGCAAAAGCAAATACTATTCTCCCCTTGAAGAGAACAGGGAAGAGCTGCAGGAAGACAACCCAGGCCTCCCAATATTCCTAGCGATTAAGATCAATCCAATATAAACTCAATCTAAAATTGCTAAACACAAGGAATTAAGCCACCAGAGATAAATCAACAGAACTAACAAATAGCAGCATTTGATCTTTAAATACTTCAGATGTTGATATTATCAAACACAATGTAAAATAAACGTGTGACAAATGCATGAAGATGTCAAATTGTAATGTTGTACCCAGTTCCCTGGGAAAATATTTACAGAGACTGACACCTGGGGATCCCCAATTAAAAAATGATCTGGTTTCACTGATGAGCCTACAGTCGTCCAAGAGCTGAGAAGCCAACTCACATACACAGAACTTATCCTGTCAGTTTTACAGTCTATTTATATTTATAAGAGCTACTCTTATAAATAGTAGCTCACTCTTATAAATATAATTCACAATGAAATCAAACATTTAAGAAAAGCTTCCAAGAACAACAAAAACAGAAAAAAGTTCAAAGGCAATATAGAAAATGTAGACAACATAAGAAAAGCCAAAGGCACTATAATACTACTTTCGAATATTACAGATATGAAGTAAGAAATTAGAGAATAAAGGCTCACAGAAATAAAAAAATAACTGAAATAAAAGTGTTGAAAGAAAAATTAAGACAATCTATTAGAAGATAGAACAAAGAGGCAAAGATGAATTAAGAAGGGAGGCTCAGTCGCTGAAGGATCACACTATCAATAATAGAAAGGTGGGAAATCTGTGGCTGAGAAGCTAGAGAATAGTCAACATGATAACTTAAAAAAATAGAGATGCACACCAAGGCACATTATTGTGAAACTGCAAAACATCAGGGATTAAAAAAAACAAAAGATTTTATATGTTTACAAAGAGGGATAAAAAAATAAAGGATCAGATTGGCATCAGATTTCTCAAAAGTAACACTGGAAGCTAGTAAATAATGGAGAAATGCCCTCAAAATTCTATCTGATAATAATTTCAACATAATTATATAACCAGTTTATCTATCCCTCAATCTCATGGTAAAATAAAGATACGGGATTTGTCGAGTTTCCAAATATTTACCGATTGTAGGCTCTTTCTCAGAAACGACTGGGGATATGTCCATCACACAGAGAGAGTTAAGGAAGGGGAAGACCCAGGGTCCGGGGGCGGAGTAAAAGGACACCCTGGGATGGCGGGGAGGGAAGCCCACAGACAAAAACTGTGCCTCAGGCCTGGAGAGCAAATGGTCGCTACTGGAACAGGAAGAAGGAAGACTCTGTGAAGGATGTTTCCAAGAAATAAAATCAAAGCAAAAATGTATTTAACCGCACAATTTTATCAAGTGGCATTTTACAGAGGGGTTGTGACTTAGCCTCCAAGTCAAGGAAAATGAAGTAAATGGAAAAAAAAATGTGGCAATTATTAGCTCCAGGCCAAAAAAAAAAAAAAAAAAAAAAAAAAGCTGTTTAAGAAAGAAAATGTGATTACAGTACGCTATTTAGCTAAATAAAACAAAAAAGGGAAATGCCAGAAACAAAGTACATGAAGTTATCATACTCAAAAGAAGACAAAGCATAAATAATATGTATACATTTTTTACCTTCTATCACACACATCCCTATAAAATAAGGGCCAGGGCCAAGTCCCCTTCAGGTAGACAGCTGAGAACCCCAATGGAGTGATTGTCTGGAAGAGCAAATTCTTTAATGCTTCTCCCTGGCTCCTGAGTCTGATTCATTCTAAGAGGGTTCGGAAGCCCATGAAAAACTGACTACACGATCAGGTTATAAATGGATATTAAGGCAACTTACTTATCACCATCTTAAGGCATTCAGGATTGTCTTGAATAAGTGGTTCAGCTTGTACCGTTTTACTTAAGAAATTCTTTGATATAAGAGGAAACCTGACTTTAGCAAGGATATCAACCATAAATGGCTGGCGATTAGGTTCATCGTATTTCAACCACCTGACTGCAGCATCATAAACCTAAGGGGGAAAAAACAGCACAGTGAAGTTCTCAGATGGCAGGAACATTTCCAGTTACCTAGATTCAGTCTCACACGGAAGGGAGAGAATCTCATAACCACTGATTCCCAGTATTTTATTCAGATACTTGCTTTCCTCCCCAAACACCCTATACCTCAGAACACTTAACATGCTGCTCTAATAAGTCTTTTATGTAACATGTTTTTTAGAACTAATTATTGCTACATAATGTAATGATGGGACGAATGTTGAATTTATGATTTTAAAAAACAAATTATCACTTCCTTTTTGGAAGGAGATATGATGTATGATTCTACTGGAAAAAAAATCTGTTGGTCAATGACAGTTTCAATATAAGATCATTTGGTAACAGGGAAACAGGTTCATTTCCTAAGAGGCCTTCCATCCCAGAAGATGTGATGGTTGCCTATGGTTTTATTTCAATCTAATATTCCTGCATTGCGAACTGATAGACTTATCTGCTTTCCAGAGACTTTATAACATACAAATTCAATATTTAAAAATAAATCAGAATATTTATGTAAGAATTGTTTCCCAAAACAATACCGTGGCATTCATTTAACTATAACAAACAAGTTAAGTTTATTAACATAATTTAATTAACAAATCACAGTTTAAACACACTGAACACAAAACATCATTTCATAGGTACATACACATCTACCACACAGATGCTTGAGCTAGTTAAATTTGTTAATTTTGGGTTGGTGTTAATATGGCCTAAGTGCTGATCCCCCAATGAGTTAGTTAATTTTTGATGGGAATTGATCTATTTTTTCACATAAACTTCTTCTTTGGGAGTATTTTTGGATTTACAGAAAAGTTGCAAAGATAGTTCAGAGTTCCCAAAAACCCTTGCACCCAGCTGTTAAAATGTTACTTTAGTATGATATTCCTGTTACAAATAATGAACCAACATTGATACCATATCATTAACCATGTCCATACCTTTAAACAGTTTCTTAGTTTTTATCCAATGCTCTTTTCTGTCCCAATCCCATCAAGGATATTGTATTACATTTAGTTCTGTCACCTTCGGCTCTTTCAGATTAAGACAGTTTCTCAGACTTTCCTTGTTTCTGATGACTGACAATTTTGAGTTCTGGTCAGGTATTTTGTAGAATTTCCTCAATTTGGGTTTGTTTGATTTTTCTCACGGTTGGACTAGGGTTGTAGATTTTTGGGACAGTGACCATAGAGGTGACAAGCTGTTCTCATTAGATTATATCCAGGGTGCAGCTACCGACACGACTTACCACTGAGGATGTTAACCTGCAGTAGTAGTTGCCAGGTTTGACCACCTGTAGGCTGTGTTTGTCAGGTTTCTTCAGTCTAGAGTTACTTTTTCTCCCCTTTCCATGCTGCATATAAGTCAATTAATTTTGCCCATAAAACTGAGTTTTTTCTTTTTGCCTAGTCAGGTCCTCCTGGTCCAAACTGTGAACTTGCAAACTAACTCTTTGGGCCATGAAGAAGAATGAATGAAAGAACATGGCTCCGTGCAAACCTTTTATCTCTAGAACAAAAGTAACTCAAAGCCTAAGAACTTATACTACCTCTGTTAGTTTCCTATTGGTGCTATAACAAATTACCACAAACCTACTGGCTTAAAATACCAAGAGAAGGATGTGGGTCCAAAAGAAGGGATTAAGTGAATGTCTGCATGTCAAGGTGCTACCCACCTCACTCCTAAACGCTTCTACCCAGCTTACACCTCTGACAGTTTAGTTGACAGTTCTGAAGGTCACAGTCCAATATGGGTCACACAGGGCTACAGGCAACTGTCAGCAGGGCTGCCTGAAGGCTCTGGGGGAGGAACCACCTCCCTGCCTTCGCCAGACCCAGCAGCCACCCGCATTCTTGGCCTGCGGCGCCTTCCTCCATCTCCAAGGTCAGCAATGGCCAGCTAAGTCTTTCCCACATTGCATCACTTTGACACTGACTCTTCTGCCTCCCTCTTCCACATGTAAAGGACGCTTATGGTTACTGGGGCCCACTGGGATAATCTCATCTCAAGATCATCAGCTTAGCCACATTTCTAAAGTCCCATCTGCCACAGAAGGTAACCCATTCATAGAATCCGGGGATTAGTATATAGACATCTTTGGAGGAGGCACAGTTCTGCCCGCCACGGCACCCAGGAGCTTCATCTCTACCGAGTGGCCTCTCTCTCATACAGCCAGCCCTTTCAAGCACCCAAGGCTTAATTTTCTCATGAAACAGACTTTGGAATACTGTTTAGTGTAAAACAAACATATTCTCTCCTACTATGATTCTTTTCCTTGTCATGGACCCCAAAATGAAGCATAAGAAATCAATAATGAGATTTGTGCTAAAAAAATGTGAGAAGGCAATTTAGTCACCTGGTCCTCTGCTCTTACAGTCAAAGTGTCCTGGTTGAGGAGATGCGTAACTCGCTTGACATCAAGTTGTAGAAATTCATCTGTTTTGTAAACTTCAGTAAAGTGCTGATGAATAAAGTCATCTGCAGTTGCTTTCAATTCAGGGCAGTCCAGACACTCGGCCAGCACACTTATTCCTAAACACAGGAAGGAAATGAATAGAAAGTCACTTTTTAAAAACCCAAACATGCGCTGAAGATAAAATATGACTCCAGGAAGCCTGCATGAATTTCTTAAGTCTGGATTCTTCTTCTTTTTTCTTTAGTCTGGATTCTTCTTTGTTCCATTGATTTGTCTATTTTTAATGCCATCTTATGTATGGCTGATTTTTGATATTTTGTAGAACAAGCCCCTTTCATGTTTTTTCCAACTTTTCTTGGCTATCATTAAACATTTTCTCTTGTATATTAGTTTTAAAATGTTTGTCACATTCTACTTTTAAAAATCCTGACACAATTTTAATTAGGATTACACGGATTTTTAAATTACTTTGGGGGTAGGTGACTGTTCTGCAATCTGGAGGCGCTCTACTTGGAAACATGACAGATCTCCATTTACTCAGATTTTTTTGATTGTCAATGTAATTATACAATTTTCATATACATATATATATTAAAGATTTTATTTATTTATTTTTAGGTAGAGGAGAATAGAGGGAGAGAGGGAGAGAAACATCAATGTGTGGCTGTCTCTTCTGTGTCCCCCACTGGGACCCTGGCCCACAACCCAGGCACGTGCCCTGACTGGGAATCGAACCAGTGATCCTCTGGTTTGCAAGCCAGCACTCAATCCACTAAGCCACACCAGCCAGGGCATTTTTCTTCATAGAAACCATATATTTTCCATTCAGCCTTTTCTTAACTATTTTAATTTTTGTTTGGGAGAGAAGTTATTAATTATTATTGTTACAAAGGAGTCTGCAAAGTACTTATTATCCATTGGCCAAATCCAACCCACATTCAGCTATAGAGTCAGCAGCTAAGACTATTTGTTTAAAGTGTTGTAAATTAAAAAAAAATAAAACTGCAGGGGAGAATAAGGGAGAGGGGAAGGAAGCAGGGGAAGGACAAGGAGGAACGAGGAGGACCACATGTGACACAAGGCCTAAAATACTATCTCGCCCTTGACAAAGTTTGCCAACCTCCTTCCTGATGAAACCATTGATTATTGTATGTGATCTCCCTTCAAAGTCATGAGATAAATTTTTTCAGTTCAGTTCAGATTTTCCATGTTTCAACTTCATGATGTTTTCAAATAATGAGTTTTGAAGTTTTCATATTTATGCCATAAAGGTTCTCATAACTGACGCTTGCTAATGAACTTGGCCTATCAGCCGCCACTTTATAAACGCACTGACGAGTGCCACGGCATGGGGAATGTTCATGGTGAGCATTCAGCTGCATCTGTATTCTTATCCTCCCAGCAGGGAGATGACGTTTTCACCAAGAACCAGTATTTGTTTACTGACTAGTTGTTGGCAGTTGAATTTGTTGCAATTAAGCAACCTAATTAAATATCACAGATCAATAAAATATGAATATGAAAAGTAGTTGCTTCTATGAAAAGTAATCCTAAGGTTTAAGACAGATTTGTAAAAAGCTCAAATTAGGCATAACCAAGACAACTGGTAAGATCCGGGAAAACACTGTAAAATTCTAGAGGGATCCTGTACTCAGACTCTCATTAAATTATTGTTCTTCCTCCATCTGTTCTTCCTGAAATTCCTACTTCACAATAGTGCTCCTGTATCTTCCTTCCATGTCTTTTCTCTTTTCCCTAATAGTTTTCATTTTTTTTGCATTTTTGTTTTATATCATAAAACAATTTCCTGTTTGATCTTTATTTTGACTTTTAGGTATTCTACTTTATGCTTTAATTCAATTGAATTCATGAAAAATCATGTTTCCCCCCCTTCAAATGCACCCTTTCTACTTAAAGTTCTCTTCCATTTCTTACATTAAATTTGGCTGTAGGAGCTGTTCATTTTGGTGATTAGCTGGAGTTCCTGTCCCTCAAACTCCTGAGTTTCCTTTACCTTTGTACATATGACCTTTGCCCAATCCCATCAGCTGTCATGGGTTCCTTTAGCATTCACAGAAGTCAGATTGTTGAGATCTGCGGGGCAGCAGGAATTGACAAGTGATGGAAAGTAAGACAGTTCTCCAACAAGCTCTCGGGGAGGGCCACACGCGGGGCCAAAAGGAAAGCAGCCTGAAGCACTTCCCGGGGGCCTGAGCGGCCGCACTTGGCTCAGCTGGCGAGGCCACTGTCTTTGCTCCAGGCTTGGCTGGAGTATCAGGCTCCCTTCTAGGCTGCCCTTCCTCCCAGAGTTGTAATCAATGATGACAGAAGGCATCCAGGGGTAAAAATGTCTAAATGATGTCCTCAGAAGCCCTTTGCGTGTCGTTAGCACAAACTTGCTTTGGGTTCACACTATGCTTTGGACTGCCACATCTGCTTCCCACATTCTAGTTCGGTCACCCCAGTATGAAATTTAGAGGGCTAGGGAGGTAAGGAAACATACTTTAAGCCATCATCTTTCAAAAAGCTTCTTTAAACTTCATCTGTAAAATAAATTTTTTGGCATATGTATTTATATAAGGGGAAAGAGACTTAAATCTTAAGAATGTAAGTCCTGTTAATGAATGGAGCCCCAAGTTTATGGCCCAGGGAGACAGAGGGACTCATCCCAGAGCGTCACTAACAGGACTGAAGGCTGGTCTTTTATTTCCTAATACAGGGGTCTTCTCACTATGTAAACCAATGGCTACCTTAAACAAAATTCCATGAGCATACTCACCTGCACAGCTCTTTCCTCTCCCGCTCCATCTGGTCCAGTTCCTTTTCTGGATACGAGCGACAATCTCCTTCTCAGCCCCTTTGCCTACTTTTTTCCCTCCCTAAATTTATTCCACTTCCATTCTACCTGCCTTCTAAGATTTTTTCCCTCTGCACTCATTGTGGGGGTGGGTGCCAGACGGAGTTATGGGGCTGCCTAGGAGGGGAGCCCACAAGGGAAGGCAGAGGCGGCTTGCAAAGCTTCTCGTGCGTGTCCAGGAGCCCACTGCCCAGCCTTTGGCTTCTTGCCGTCAGCACCCCTCACCTCCTGCTGTGGGTCCGAAACCCTAGCCCTGGCTGCATTCCCAGACCCCTCTCTCTACTCCCTTTCTTTCCTTCCCACTGTCCTGGCGCTCCTACCCTGATCCTCTTCCCCTCTGAATCACAGCAAGGGAAGGAAAGTGTACTGACAAAGGCCTGGACGTTCATTCATGTGCTGCTAAACACAACCTCACAGTGGAAAGCATACCACACCGCGCTCTGGAAAACTGTGATCAACTTTCTCTGCTTCTCCTGGTATCAAATACATTTTTTTTTTGTTGAATTTATTGGGGTGACAACAGTTAATAAAATTATATAAGCATCAGGTGTACAATTCTATAATGCATTATCTGTATACTGTATTCTGTTTTTATCACCCCAAGTCAGGTTTCCTTCCATCACCATTTATCCTCTTTTTACCCTCTTCTACCTCCCCCCAACTCCCTTTCCCTCTGGTCATCATCATACTGTTGTCTGTGTCTATGAGGGTTTTTTCCCTCCTTAATTCCTTCACCTATTTCATCCAGCCCTGCAACTCCCCTCTCTTCTGACAGCCGTCAGTCTGTTCTCTATGAGTCTGTTTCTATTTTGTTTATTTTGTTCGTTAGATTCCACATGAGTGAAATCACATGGTACCTGCCTTTCTCTCACTGGCTTATTTCACTTAGCATAATGCTCTCCAGGTCCATCCATGCTGTGGCAAAAGGTAAGATTTCTTTCTTTCTTTTTTTAATAGCTGAATAGTATTCCATCATGTAAATGTACCTCAGCAGCTTCTATCCACTCATCTACCGACGGACAGCCGGGCTGCTTCCAAACTCTGGCTGTCATAAATTACACCTCAATGAACACAGAAGTGCACATGTTCTTTTGAATTAGTGTTGCAGGGTTCTTCAGGCATAGTCCCAGGAATGGAATTGCTGGGTCATAAGACAGTTCCATTTTTAATTTTTCTGCTTTCCCACACTGCTTTCCAGCGGCTGCACCAGTCTGCATTCCCACCAACAGTGCACAAGATTCCCTCTTCTCCACATTGTCGCCAGCACTTGTTTGACCGTGTGGAGAGGCAGCACAGCGTAGCAGGCAAGAATGAGATTACCTGAGTTCCAACCCCAGCTTCTCCACATACCAGCTATGTGACCTTAGCGTGTTAAATAACTTCAGTTTCCTTATCTGTGACAGACCATAGGTACCATAGGGGCTTCAACAAAGGTCAATATTCATGTGTGTGTTATCATATATCACATACCTCTGCCAGATGCAATCCTTACTCCTTGTCTAGATAAACAAAAACTCATTATTAAAGCTATTTTATATTTTGGAAAATACTGATACAGCATTTAGTGAGCTCACTGCTGCCTATTAATATACACTTTGCTGAGCTCTTCTTAAAATGTATAACTAGAAAAATATCTGGTGGACAATGTCTTTAAAATTAAATGAGAATACTTATAACCACAGTTTTTTTCTTTACTAAAACACAGAGTAAAAGTTTTTTAAAGAAATAGAAATTTGACTTCTTACCAAGACAATTTGAAGCATCAACTTGTTCTTTTAAAAAATCAACACACATTTTCTTCACAGGTTCAATCTGATACTGGTTTGCTGCATCTAATAAAGACTGAACGTTGTTGCTATTGACAGAAATTCTGCAAATAAGTTAAAGTGAATATTAATTTCCTACAATTTTTTATTTAAATACTGCTACTGTAGAATGCATCCCACTAGCCCCTGAAATTAAGCAAAAAATTAAACTTTCCAGTCCTTGAATTAGTACGGTAGAGGGCCTCTGACTCCCTCCGCCCCCAATCCTTAACGTTTTGTATTCTAGATCCCAACCTTACTCCTTCACAACAGAAATGGTCCTTCTTAACTTACCTTGCAGTATAAGCAAATTCTACAAGTTGTTCAATGATGTCGGGTTCAGCATCTTTGAGTTCTACCTCAAAGGACTTTGATTCCAGCATGTTAGCTACAATGAAGAGGAGAAACATAAATGGCATGAGTACGACCGCTGAGGAACCAGGTCATTACAGGACACGCTGAATATGGAGAAGAATAACAGGACAGAGACTTCATTGGAAAATACCTCGGAAAGCCCAACACTCCTGTAATATTGATACAAAGCAAATTAATCCTCCATACTTGAGATATGCCTTAAATCAAAACAATCTAAGAAATTAGTGAATTAGTGTATGTATTTAAAACAAAGCCCAAGTGAACAGAGACCTAAAACTACAGTTAGTATTTTCCTGGCTCCTAAAATAATTTAGTAGCAGTTTTTTAAACAGCTGTGAGCAAAATGCCTCTGATGCAGCTAGAACAAACCTGTGAGAACAGTGACCACTATGTATAGTCAGCTACAACTAGAAAAGCTCTTCTTCTTCCCCCAAACCCTGGCCGTTGGCCAGAGCATCAGAGAGAAAATTTGGGGTAGATACAGTCCATAACCTGAGCAAGTTCATTTTAAAACACTACTCAATAGAGGAACCAGGACTTGGACCCAGTTCTCAGCTCCAAATCTAGGGTTCTTTCTAATATGATATACTTATACTTCATTTTTCTTTAGTTTAACTGGCTAGATAAAATCTCATAAGGTTTTCCTGTTCCTGTGCCTTTCCACTTGAGGTTAAGAAGAGAACCCTAGGCATTCAAGTAGAAACTATATCTTAATCAATAAAGATCTTGGGCCTTTAGGGTTAATGAAAGGACATGTTTCCTTTGATTAATCAACACCTTGACCACTTCTCAACCTCTTCACTGTCCTAAAGTCTTAATTTCTTAAGTCCTTTAAAAATTAGGAGGAATGGCACATTTTCATTTTGACCCACCTCATTCTCAAAAAATAAATAATATGTTTGATCTTAAGATACTTACTTGTGAACATTAAGTTAAAAAAATGACTGGCTGCAGCAAGGACAACACGATGAGCAGGTATTTTTCTTTCCTGGACCATAAGGATCACATCACACAACGTTTTCTAATCGAGAGAGGAAACAGATAAAATCAAAAGGGGCTCGCTGGGCCTAGTTTAGCAAACACATAAAACAGGTGCTTGTCAAATGCTTTATCTCTATTTTCTATTTAAGTCCAGTCTTTTTCCAGTACAAAATTTATTTATAATGTAAGACCTATTTACGAAGGAATTAGAGTTGCTGTCATGAGTTTGCTGTGACAAAACTGGGCACGGAGCTTCCCAACAGTCAGGAAAATCTTTATAATTAGCAAAGAAGTAGTCTACTAATCCTTTAGGGAAGCCTTTCCCCGCACCCTCCCCCCACCCCCGGGACAAATTCTAAGCTATTTATCATAGAGAGATTTTTATGGGGACAGTAAATGACATAATGACAATGTCCTTGATGGTGTTTCAAATATAACAATCTGTTCTTAAAAACGACCTATTCCTGATAAAAATCCAGAGCACACACTCCACTCCACAAGACCTACCTTGAAACAGAAACTACTCAGAATACATGGAGCGGATGAACCAAATGCCCATTCAACACTCTCTCCTTACATAACACTTCTCTCAAATGTACTTCTGACAAAAGCTGCGTATCAGTCACTTTTAAGTTGTGGTTTCTGACCAAGGCCAAAATAGTGTCACTCTAGGTTGCTAAAACAAGACAGATCTAGATTAATACTTAAAATGTTGGAAAAATGGAATATTAAAGAAAAAAATGTATTGTTTACTAGAACCATTAGAGATGAGTTTCAAGGAAACAAGTGGTCTTCCTGTGAAATAAAATTTCAATTTCTCAATGAAGTTATAATGTACAGATAAGGCTCAGAGAAAATTTACAGCCTCAGATACACTCTGTTGGGCACTGGGGGAATAGGAGGGAAATAGTTTTTTCAGAGTGAAAAAAATCTATCACTTACAAATCCAAATAATGGCCTAGTAGCTCAGAGCATATGGGATTTTGCATTTTTTAAAGTATTTCACTGAAACTATTAATATAGTTTTGGGTAGATTAAGTCACTGCTATCTCCTACTTTATTACTCCACAAATAAAAATCCAAATAAGATGGTAATGTTTACAACAAGAAAGGAAATGGGTCCCAAACACTGGGATAAAAGATGAACAGAATTTCACTTTTATGGCTTATTTCAAGATTTTTTAAATAAGGCCTATAGAATATTGCTTAGAAATAATATGCAGATTACTTAAAATTATAGCTATTGTCATTCTAATAATGTCTTGACTTTTAAAATTTTATTTCCTTTTATTTGGCAAGGCGGTTCAAAGTAGGCAAAGCTTGCAGGTGATTTTGCCACATACCACATCAAAAAAAAAAAAACACCCAAAAACCAGATAGCAAAAACCAAACCAACTATGTGATTGCCACCAAAACAAGCTGATGAAGCTGCTTGAGAGGGGAAAAGAAAGGGAGAAGGGAAGGAAGGTAGAAAAAGATAATGTAATAATAATAAATTGCAAATCAAATAGGGGAGGGATTTATGGCTGCTAAGGGGAAGTTCCAGGAGATGTAGAGAGCGCTAAATCGAAACGTAGCAAAAAAAACCTTTCCTAGGCACACTCAGCAACAGGAAGTCTCAGTGGAGTAAATTTACAGGCACTGAAAGAAATGAGAGAAATCAGAGGGATCTTTGTAGAACAATTTAGTCTTAATCTAAGATTGATCTCCAGCTGGATAGTAATGTTGTATGGGGGTGGAAGGGGAGGGATCTTTTGTATCCCAATGGAACATCTGTTTGACTGTACTACATTAGACTGAGAGGTTTCAACAAGAAATGGGACTGGCCTAAAGAGAGAGAGGCCCCTCCTGCCCTCAGCTGTCTGGGGAAGAGGTATATCCACAGACAGGAAATGGGAAGAGCAAGAGACTCAGGTATATTGGAGAAGGGGAGAGGTAGCAAGCCCCTAAGGTGGATCGAAGAGAACTTAAACAAAAAAAAAAAAATGTTGAACAATACATGTTCACTGGATAAACCAAGAAAAATTACCCTTGCAATTTCTTTATTTATGTTGCTCAGAATAGTTACATATTTGTATTAATTTCAGCTTTTGAATCTTAAGTCTCTTGTAAGCAGCATGGGTTTTCGTGGGACTTAGTCTCTAAGTTCTCACCACCTAAGATTTTTTTTAGTAGGGTTCAGTTTAATCCTTCATATTTATTACTGATAACTTATGTTTTACCTTACAAATCCCATCTTCTTTTATGCTATTTATTATGCTTCCTTGCTGTCTTCTTTTTTCTTTAACTGCCAGTTGCTATTTTGGTCACATTTTCTTTGCACTTTTTTCTTCCTTTAGGGACTTACTTTTAGATATGCCAAATATTTGCAAACTGAATTCAGCAAGGTATTAGTCAAATATTGTTCTAGGAATGCAAGGAGGATTAAAGAAAAACACAATTCTATTAATGCAACTTATCGTATTGACAGGTTAAAAGAAAAAACTTCATGTAGGAAAACTTCAATAGATAGAAAAAATGTGTTAGATGAAATTAAAAATTCATTTCCTGAGACTCTCTAACAAAGAAAACGATGTGTCTGAATACCAAAGGCCATTCATCAGAAACCAACAGCCAACACCGCCTTTAATGGTGAAACAGGAGAGGCATTCTCACTCAAGTCTGAAACAAGTGGGAATTTGGTATATGATAAAGATACCATTTCAAAACTGTGGTGAGAGCGTGGTAATACTTCCAAGTTTAGGGCCATGAAACTATTTGTATAATACTGTGACAGTGGATACATGCCATTATACATTTGTCAAAAGTCATAGAATGTATAACAGAAAGAGAGGGCCCTAAGGTAGACTAAGGTTAGTAATGTAACAATATTGGCTCATTAATTTAACAAATGCACTATACTCAGGCAAATGTTAATAATAGGGGAAACTAGGAGGATGGGGGTAAATGGAAACCTTGTAGTTTCTGCTGAATTTTTATGTAAATCTAAAACTTCTCTAAAAAATAGACTATTAATTTAAAAATATAGTGAGAGATCAGATAACTGAAAAAATGGTACTGGGATAACTGTTACACTTTAGGGGAAACATTAGATTTCTGGCTCGTAGTGCACTCCTTCTTCCTCTGGGGAAGGTCAGCAGTGGAAGGAAGTTTCAGTTCTTTTCTCGACCTGTCACTTGTGGAAGAGTGACTAGGATGGCCAAGAGGAGGGGAGCAGTCACACAGAGCTACGCCTCCTGGCTCCTTCTTCCAGAAATCTGGCCCGAAGCGGAACATCACTTCTTGGGCAGACTCCCCCCTGAGGCAGGGGGACCGTGCCCATTCCTCAGCTGCTGTGCCTCAGTCCGGAGGGTAAATTGAGTTCATGGGAGAGAGGAGAGGAAGCCCAATTTTATGCTCCGGTCAAAGTCATGGTCTCCAGCCTGTTACCATTAATTCAGCCACCTTCTCTGTCTACTTCGCACATGTTTAGAACCTCCAGTGACAGGGGGCTTCTCAAATCCGTATGTATAGCTAATCAGAGCACTGCAGAGGAAGATGGAAATTTTGGTGCTGCTTTAGTGCACCCCAGTGTAAGCAGCTTTTGAGGAAAGAGGTCCTTTGCTAGGAAAGACCTTGAGACAGGCAAGTATTTCAGGCATGTGTTGGTGGAATGACCTCTTGCTCTCTTTACGAGTTTTCAAGAAAGCAATGCAAAAGGCAGCTAGGTTCCATGTAAGCTCCACAGCACTGTATACGGTTCTAGCTTTTAACACTCCGTGCTGGCATTAGTTGGAGGCATGCAATCAGCTTTCTCAAATTCTACTCTTTGGTGTATCCCAAGGAGAGGACTGAGGAATGACTAACCTTTGGATTTATGTAGCGTGTCAACAGGTTCTGCAATCAGCCCCTCCTAGTGTAATTTCAAGTTGGCCCTCAGTCTAAATACCTGAGCAGACTGTAGATTCAACTACAGTCGGGCAGTGGATTTAAATCACTGAAAAGATAAAGGGCAATGGAACCCTTATTTTTATAGAGGTAAATCATCTTCTTGACTTGAGATACTAGAAAAGCCTCGACAAAACCATAATAAACCCAAAGACTAAGAAAAAAAATTCAAAAGGCCTCTTTGGGAATCACGTTTATTCAGAGATGCAAAATAAACAGCGTTGGATTTAAACATCCATATACTCACAAAAAGGCAAGTGGGAGGGAGAAAGAAAAATAAAGGAAGACACATAGATTAATAGAGGAGAAAGGGGATTTCCCTTTTTAAGGGAAACATGGGATAAATTAGGCCAAACAGCTTTGAAAGGGAAAGGAGGTACAGTTGGTTTAGTATAACTGCTCTTTAATGATGGAACTAGAAAGAATTTTTTTTTGTTATTTAGTCAAGAAAGGTGATATGTATCGAAGAGATGTAATAGAAGAATTCAGGAATTCTCCCAGATTAAAACAGTTGTCCCAGAAAAAGCCTGGACCTAGGACACTTTTGTAGGGTTACAGCTAAAGATGAACATCACGAACATGAAGAGAGAACGGCCCGTAAAGAACGGGAGAGTGACACAGGCGATGCGGGGCGGCCAGGCAGGTTCGAAAGGGGAAGAGAAACATCAGCAATAGAGCATTTTATGAATGTGTTACGTAATTTGCAAGGTGATCTGGGTGGGAGGACAGGAACGCAACACAGTCGGGAAGTGTGTGGAAACGCGACTTTAAGGGAGAGTGCCAGCTTGCACCGGCGGGAAGCCGAGGAGCGCATACCCAAAACTGGAATTACCTCACTGGGGGTGGTGAAGGCTGGTGAATCGATCCTGAACAGACAGACTTCGTATTTTCCACTACGGCAAAGTCTATAAGCAAGGCTCTGGGGGAGGAAGTATGTTAGCAAACACCTGGGCCCAAAATGAAAAGCAAAGGAAAAGGAAGGAAAGTGTTCTGATCTAAACAGTGTTACCTGTACTATAACCACAAAACCTCAAAAACAAACAAACAAACAAACAAAAAACAACGATACCTCTACAGGACACAGGAAGAAAAAGTATTCAGCTTAAACAGGTT